GCGGTGGTGCTACTTTCAGAGCTAGATTCCCAGCCAGCAGCCACCGCTCTCCAGCTGCCCAGCTCTGAAGGCAGCGCCGCTACCAGCAGCAGCACAGAAGTAAGGGTAGCAGTACTGCAACCGCCCCTACAATAACCTTGTGACCTCCCCCACAACTCCTTTTTGAGTCAGGACCCCTGCAATTACAAGACTGTGAAATTTCAGATTTAAATAGCTGAAATAATGAAATTTATGATTTTTAAAATCCCATGACTGTGTAATTGACCAAAATGGACCATGAATTTGGTAAGGCCCTATTCATACACAGGATTCAGCCCCTTTTGGATCTGGCACTGCTCCCTTCACCTGGATCCTAAATTTCTCATGATGTAGGAGAAACAAGTAAATATAACATTGAACCATATTCATGTTATTTCATTTCTGAATCCTCGTTCGAAACTTCTTTAGCCCTGGACAGTTCCCACTGCCCGTCCAATGGTCCTCTACTGTACTTTTGCTGGGTTTTACATTGGCTGCTAAGTGGCCAGAGCCCGCCCCCTCTTACAGTTACAGAGACACATCTCGATTCTCTGCCTGCCTCCCCTCTTGGTACCTTTGAATTTCCTCAGGGTCTCCTTTAAGGCAATAGTTTTTTGAGAGAAATCACTGAGTCTCTTTTCCAGCTCAAGAGAAATCCCTGTGGGCTGCTGGAACATCTCGCACCTGGAGAGAGAAAACTCTCTGAAGTGAATTGTATTAATTACATTAATTACTCCTTATTATGCATTACTTAATTGCCTTTTAATATGAAGCTCATGCTAGTCAATGCTGCTGTACTGGGGTCCCTGGAGAATGGATTCCTCTGTGTGTCCTACCCTCACAGAAGGTGACACCGAGGCATTAGCTGTGCATGCTTCCCCCACAGTTATGATCCATCCTTAGGCTACAGAGACTATTAGGCCCAGATCCACAAAGGGATTTAGGCACCTGAGTCCCAGATTTAGGTGGCATTGCAACCCCCTTTATCTGCCACCTAACCCTGTAGGTGCCTAAGCTCACTCAACACCTACCTTTTAGCCACAACCCACAGTCAACCTGTGGAACTCTTTGCCGGAAGATGTTGTGAAGGCCAAGACTATAACAGGGTTCGAAAAAGAACTAGATACATTCATGGAGGATAGATCCATCAATGGCTATTAGTCTGGCTGACTGGGATGGGGTCCCTAGCCTCTGTTTGCCAGAAGCTGGGAATGGGCGACAGGGGGTGGATCACTTGATGATTGCCTGTTCTGTTCATTCCCTCTGGGGCACCTGGCATTGGACACTGTCGGGAGACAGGATACTGGGCTAGATGGGGCATTGGTCTGACCCCGTGTGGCCACTCTTATGTTCTAAAAATGCCATGGGTTCTAAAAATGCCATGTTTCTGCCTCTGGGCACGGGCACTGTTACCTCCCAGTAGGCATCTCCTGCCTATGCTGCAGTGCAATCCTCAAATCGGGGAGGTGTCCCCCTACCTATCTTGCCTGTAGAGGTGCTGAGATGAAAGGCCTCTTATTCCATCCCCAGCATCCTGACACAGCCAGTCCCTTAGAGGTAGAAGCATTGCTTAATTTGTGCCAAGGCTTGCCAGGGCTTAGTGCCAGCACCTCTAGGCTTGGTAGTTCCTAGCCCCGGCACCTTTAGGTTGGCAGTTCATAGCCCCGGCATCTCTAGGCCTGGCAGTTCATAGCTTTGGCACCTCTAGGCCTGGCAGTTCACAGTCCCGGCACCTCTGGGATTGGCAGTTCACAGTCCCGGCACCTCTGGGCTTGGCAGTTCACAGTCTCGGTACCTCTGGGCTTGGCAGTTCATAGCCCCGGCACCTCTAGGCCTGGCAGTTCATAGCCCCGGCACCTCTGGGCTTGACGCATCAGTTATGAAAGTAAAAAATATGGCTTCTAATTGCCTGAGCCACGGCACTTGTTTCATTACAAAGTAATCACTGGGTGGAAGCTATTTAAAACCACTTAATTAAACTTAACACTGGGAGAATTGTGATTGTGCCCCCTACCCCTTGCTGCTGTGCCCCGGGGTTTTAACATGACAAGAGAATGAAAGGCGAGGGAGAGTGAGACGGAGCCATGTACCTGCTCAAGGTGATCCTGATGTCCTAGAAGGGAGAGAAAGAGAGAAAGGAAGTTGATTGCACATGTGAAATGCCAAAGATCCCGCCTGCGGGAAATGAGCTTTCACCCATCAAGTTCCATAGGTTAAAGTCACAACCTACTTCTACATATTTATTAAAGCATTTAGATCACGGAGTTGGATTTTCCAAAATGGCCCCTAAATCTTCCCCTGGGGATAGGCGGCACGTTCTATTGGGCACAGAGAAACAATCCAGGGTGTTTTCAAAAGGCAAATGCTAATCAGGAAGATTAACATTTCCCACTCCAATCTCCACCGCCATCTCCACAGCAAATTCCTGGGGTTGGCGCGTGTTATGTTGCCTTAGCAAAATGTTTAGCCTCCTACTTTGGAGGCTGGATTATGGGGTTCATTTGCGGGCTCTGCTGCAGCCTCTCTCTGTGCCTGGCACATTGGGGCCTCTGGAGGCTACTGCAATACAAACAATAAGTTAAATATTTATGGGCTCATTTGGATTTGAACTTCCCTAGGGCACTAGCTGGGTGCAGAGCTCTGGCAAGCAAAGTTGCCACAGGGCTCTGATGCATTCTGCATGCACAGGGCAGCCGTAGGCAGCGTCTCACAGAGAACTGGGAGAGCAGGCTACATACCAGGAATATTCCACATCAGAGAAAATGTTGGGGGTAATTTTGGCATCATCCCCTGTGCATCATCCCCAATTTTATGCATCATCCCCTGTGAAAATAGTTCAGGACACTGTGCAGAGGCAACTGGGGTGTCTCTAACAGAAGTGGGGAAAGGCTCTGGCAACGGGGAAAGGCTCCTGCAGCTGCCCACTGCTGGAGCCTATCTCCACAGAAAGGAAATTCACCTGCAGGAAATCACTCGCTGGCTGCTGGCACTTCCCCTCCAGCTCACTGATCAGGCTATTAAGATGGGAAATCTCCATGGGAAATCTGGTGACCGTTTCCTTTTGCCACTTCATAATCCTGTCCAACTCTTCCAGCCGGGCCAGCAGGAGGCGCTCTTGTTCCTCCAGAAACTGGCGGAGCTGCTGAAATTCAAACCCAATTCTCTGCCTCTCCTTTTTGATCTTTTCCTGTAACAGACAGATAGAAATGGGGAATGGGCAGGTAAAGACCCTGCAGAGAGATCAGGGGTATTTCATACAGCCATGTGTCTGCCAAAGGGAAATTTCTCACTACCCCAAAAAGTCATTTCAAGACTTTTTTTGAGACAAACTCCCTATGGATGAGAGAAAGATCTTCCTAAAGCTTCCTTAGTCAGTCCTAATTTATGTTAATAGTGTGCAATCTTTAGCATGGATTCATAGATTCCAAGGCCAGTAGAGACCATTGTGATCATCTAGTCTGACCTGTGTAACACAGGCCATAGGATTTTCCAAAACATTTTCTCTTTAATTAGAGCAAATCCTTTTTTTAAAAAAAATCCAATCTTGATGGAAAAATTGTCAGTGATTGAGAATCCACCATGACCCTTGGTAATATTCCAGTGGTTAATTACCCGCTCTGTTAGAAATATATGTCTTATTTCCAGTCTGAATTTGTCTAGCTTCAACTTCCAGCCAGAGGATGGTGGTATATTTTTGTCCTCTAGTTTCAAGAGCTCATTATCAAACATTTGTTTCCCAATTAGGTACTTACACACCGTGATCCAGTCACTTCTGAAGCCTTCTTTATGTTAAGTTAAATAGATGGAGCTCTTTGCATCTATTACTAGAAGGCATGTTTTCTATTCCACTGATCAATCTCATAGCTCTTCTCTGAACCCTCTCCAGTTTATCAACATCCTTTCTGAACTGAGGACACCAGAACTGGACATGGGATTCCAGCAGCGGTTTCACCAGGACCAAATACAGAGGTAAAATAACCTCTCTACCCCTACTCAAGAGTCCCATGGTTATGCATCCAAGGAGCACATTTTGGCTACAGTGTTGCATGATTAGGATGTTCTCATATCACTGGCTTAGTGAACTCCAGATTCGTCTAGCAGCAGAAAGGGCAGCAGGAGGCAGGACTCAGCTTAACATTCTCTCCCTCTCTGGCTGTGTCTACACTGAAACCGCTACAGTGGCAGCGCTGCAGCTGCGTCGTGCTAGTGCGTCAGTGTAGACACTCACTGCAGCAACAGGAGGGGGTCTCCCCAGAGGCAGATCAAGGTCTCCTGGGGCCCTGGGCCGGAGCAAGTGAGGGGGCCCCAATGCCAAAACTGTGGCCCTACCCCACCCCTTCCACCTTCAGTTCCACCCCCGTTCCGCCCCTTCCACCTGCAACCCCGCCCATGACCCCACCCTGTTCCGCCCCTTCCCCTGTGGCCCTGCCCTCGTTCCACCCACGGCCCCTCCCTTGTTCTGCCCCTTCCCCCGTGGCCATGCCCCTGTTCTGCCCTCAGTCCCACCCCCATTCCACCCCTTCCACCACAGCCTCACCCCCCCCCCCCGGCTTGCTCCTCCCCCCTATTGCAGCACCGAGACTGGAGAAGCTCTGCACGGAGGTTGTGGTGGGGAGAGAGAGCTCCTCCCGCCCTGGGGCTGTGGCAGGGGGAGATTTTTCCATGCGGTAATCTGGCACTGGTTCTCCCATTGCTGTGCTAAATCCACCTCCCTGAGAAGCAGTCACTAGGTTGATGGAAGAATTCTTCTATCAACTTAGCACTGTCTACATCAGGGTAGGCCAGCTTAACTACGTCTTTCGGGGGGGTGGATTTTTTACATCCTTGAATGACATAGCTGGGTCAAACTAACATGTCAGTGTAGACCTGGCCCCTCTCTCTCTCTCTCTCACACACACACACTGCACTGGCAGCGACTCCTGGGCAAAGGGAGGTGCGGGAAATTAAAAGCATGACACCAACAAAAAAATCCAATGAGAAAAATCATGATATCAGCACATCGGTCATTTAAAAAACAAATACAAACTGCAGAGACAAATGTTCATGGACACACATGAGAGAGACATCCAGAAACTTCCTATAGGCACTCCCGTGGACAGCGACAATCCATGCCTGCCACTGGGGGAGGGGGGGGGGGGGGACGAGAGTGAGGGCAGCCGGCTTCAGCAGTGTTACTGAGCATGCTCAGTCCATGGGAGCATGCTCAGTACAAATTGTGCAGCAAATCTGGGGGGGCACATGACCCCCCTATGTGTTGCCTCGGCATGTGGAAATTTAATCACACATGCATCACACTCAGGAGCATGTGGTCACAACAAAACCCAAATACTGTCCCCACACGGAAGCCGTAGAGCGAGAAACACCCTGACAAACACACATTTATTGTCTCAGAGGGTCACAAACATTCACATCCCAGTATCAGAGGGGTAGCCGTGTTAGTCTGAATCTGTAAAAAGCAACAGAGGGTCCTGTGGCACCTTTAAGACTAACAGAAGTATTGGGAGCATAAGCTTTCGTGGGTAAGAACCCATCTGCTTCAGATGGGTTCTTACC